ATTTTAATTTTTATTCGGCTTTTGCATATAGAACCTTGGATTTTTATTCGCCTATACAGTTTAGCAACATTTTTAACTCATTTTTTATTTATCACCTTTTTTTCTATTTTGTTCTTAATGAAATTGAGTTTTTTTTATCCATTTTACTTTTCCCTAGATTTTTTTGCCTTTGAACACTTTTGCAATGTACAGTTGCCCCTCCATTTTTGCAGATTCCTCTGCAAAAATGGAAAACCATAAATATTCAAGTCCTATAGGACTGAATGGCAGCACATGCTCCATTTGGTCCCCCTGTGTTTACCGCCCGCGAATGGGCAAGGGATGTGGACTTGAAGTCTGCCAAAACAGAGGGGCAACTATATATCTATATATAGATATATAGACATATATCAGAGTCTGGAAGTTACTCCATGAGACCATAACTCCCCGAATTGTGTGAAACATATCAGGCGGTTTCCAAAGCTCTGATGAGTTGTGTATCCAGGTCAGGATGCATGTGTTTGAAATGGATGCTTCCATAACATTGAGTCATGGCAGTTCAAGCGGTATCAAACTGCATTATTTCTGCAGTGCAGATGTGGCCTAAGCTGTGGACAAAAGTGGAGGAAGAGAGAGAAACTGGGACATTTTAGAAGCAGCTAAAAAAGGAGAGTGTCAGAGGATTAACTGGGACTGTCAACTGCTAAATTGGGGCTATCAGAAAGTATGGTAACCTTTCCTAGATTCTGCTGTAATTGTGCTTCTAGCATGTGGCCAACAAAATTCCCTAGGCTTCACGCATACCTTGTCAGGGCTAATCAGCCCCCAAATCAGCCTCACTTGAACCCGGATCCTGTTCCATGGATGCTTCAGGCAGCAAAGAGACCTGAAAGATGGCAGAGAGAAGGTTCATTCAGCCCCTCTGCCTTCTCACTGGCTTGCCTTCCTTCCAATCCTTGGTCTTCTCAAGTTATAGATCTTTATTTTTATCCCCTTGCAAGGGATGGTGTGTGTATGTGTGCATGTGTGTGAGTGTTTTACAGCAACACACACACATACACACATGGCTTGAAGCTGGGGGAACTTGGCAGCCTCTGGGCTTCTGGAATTCCCCCTGTGCCGCATTTTAACACTGGGTTGATTTGTAGATAGCAGCAGCGCATTGGAATGAAGCCGCTTGCATTGCAGCTGTGCCAGAGGAGGAGGAGAAGGAGAAGAAGAAAAGGAGGAGGAAGAGAGGAGGAGATGGGGGGGCGGCAGATTTTGCAGAATGGGCCAATCCAGCTTCTTCTAGCAAAGCGTTGTGGTGTCATCTGGAATTCCCCTAACTCTGTTGGCCTGGTTTATACCTTAAACACACATGCACACACACAACAGTGCATCATCTTTTCCTGTGGCTTCCTAAAATTGTTTGAATGGGAAATCGAACCTTGATCTCCAGATGTCCCAGTCGAGTGCTTAGCCTTTTACAACCTAGTGGGTTGTACAGCCTTTTACAAGTCACGCTCTCTCATCCTCAGAGGATGGCACTGACACGCCACCTCTGAAGAAATCTGGCCTAGAAAACCCTATGATAGGTTCAGCTTAGGGTTGCCATATGTCAGAAACAACTTGGAGGCATGCAACAGCAACTACAAACTAGAAATTGCAAGAGGCAGCATGGATTGATTGCTTAATCAATCCATCAATCAGTTCATATCCATATACTTGGGTGGTTTTAGTGTTGGACTGGAGGCAAGGCTATAGATCTCTGCTCGGCCATGGAAACTGATTGGATGACCTTGGACCAGTCACACTCTCTCAACCTTAGAGAAAGGCCAAAGGAAACTTATTTGAACAACGCTTGCCAAGAAAACCCCTCAACAGTTTCACTTTAGGGTGACCATAGGTCAGACAACAACAACAACAACTAGAAATTGCAGCCAGAACTAGATGCAACATCAAACCCAAGTATATGGATATGAACAGATTGATTGATTGATTGATTGAGCAATTAATCCAAGTTTTAGAATTAACCGCTGGGAGGGGCTGGGCATGTTTAGCTTGGAGAAGAGACAATTGGGAGGATAGATGATAGAGCCATCTTTAAATATCTAAGGTTATCAGATAGAAGATGGAGCAAGTTTTCTTCTGCTCCAGAGACCAGCGCAAGAATTAATGGATCTGAATGACAAGAAAAGAGATTCCGCTCAAACACTAGGAAGAACTTTTTGACCATAAGAGTTGTTCAAGAATTGAATAGACTACATTGGAAGGTGCTCGATTCTCTTTTTTTGGAGGGATTTAAAAAGAGGTCAGCTAGGCATTTTTCAGGAGTGATTGTGTATTCCTTTATGGTAGAGGGTTGAACTAGATGACTCTTGGGGTCCTTTCTAGCTTTGTGATTCCATATCTCTCCTTTCTCCCAACGTGGGATCCAGTTAAAATACAGCTAGAAACAATGATTATGGTAAGAGATATAAAAGCAACAATGAAATAAACTATCCCAGTAAGACCAGCCCAAATTTAAAACAACGTAAAAGCATTTCAAAGACAACAGTGACTATTAAAGTACTGCGTCTCGCACTGAAAAGAGCCTTTTGAAGCAAATAGTTAATAGCTAAAACAGGGGTAGGCAACCTTTTTGAGACCTGGGCCAGTCTCCCGTAGCCCAGGTCTTGGCTGGGCCGAGGGGGGAAATGGTGCCCTCCGCCAACGCGCACGACCCCCCCCACGCATGCCGCTGCCGCCGCGGCGCATATCACGGCAGCCATTTTGAAAATCTAAATGGCGGCTGTGACTCATTTGCGCATGGCTGAAAAAACGCGCTGCACGGCAGCAGTGGTGGCGGCAGGGATTGGCCTGGGCCGGTAAGTACGGCGACCTGGGCCTTAACTGGCGCGGGGGCCGTAGGTTGCTGGCCCCTGAGCTAAAAGCTTGTCTGAGTAAAAGGAAGAAAGAGAGTAAGGACTGTGTCCAGCAT